GAAGCCAGGATTGAACGAGGTCCCGGTTGTCCCGGTCCATTTGGAACGGGAGCAGGCACAGCACTGGATGGGCGGCCAGGATTTGATTTCCCACTATTCCCAGTACTGGGAAAGAAATGCTGGGAATACAGCCCTGGATAAAGCGTGAGTTATACTGGGAATACTGGGAATATTGGGACTGAAATGCTGGGAATACAGCCTTGTTTAGAGAGTGAGTTATACTGGGAATACTCTGAAAGACATCCTGGGAATGCAGGCCAGGATAGAGAGTGAGTTATACTGGGAATACTGGGAACACTGAATACATCTTTGCCAGTGACCCCTCAGAGCCGCTCATGGAACCTCAGAGATTCCCTCTGGAACCCAAGGAGCGCTCCCAGTAACTCCCAGTGACCCGCAGTGCCCTCCCAGTAGCTCCCAGTAACTCCCAGTGCCCTCCCAGTAACTCCCAGTTGCCTCCAGTACCCACCCGTGGGGGACCCAAGGCCGCTCCCCCCGCCATCTTGGCCGTTGCTATCAACAGACGCCGTTACCAGGCAACAACTGTGTGCTTGACGTCACTTCCTTTACGTTTCAATGTCACTTCCGGGCTCATCGCAATGGCGGCCTGGAGGTACCGGGGATGTTTTGGAGGCACCGGGAAGGCCCAGGAAGTACCGGGAGGCCCTTTAGGGATCCCGGGAAAGCTCCGAAGGGCTCCGCACCCCTCGGCCCCCTCCCCAAAATCCACCAATCCCCCCCATTGTTGTCCTGAATTCCTGCTGAGGATGAGACGGGGATGAAGGACCCGGTGTCCCCTCGTTCTCCTCCTCAAGCCCACTTCTCCCCCTCCAATACCGGCTGTGACCAAACCGGCGCCACGTTGAGGCTTTCAACCGCCCAGGCGGGTTCTGGAGCTTGAATTTATTTATAATAAAGCTGCGTTTGGAGTCTCCGGTTATTTCGTGGTTCCGGTGGGACCGAGATGCCCTAACCGAGTACGGGAGAGGCAGAACTGCGGCTTTGCCTTCCCGTTAAACTTGTCCACGCGCGGCCACCGTCCCACTTTTCCCGCGTGCTTCTCGGCTTCACCGCCTGCTTGATTGACGGGAGGCTCCACCAATGGGATTGCGCAGAGAGGGGCGTCTCGTCCCTGCTGACCAATGGAAGCGCGAGCAGGGCGCGTTTGCCCCGCCCCTCGGCGATCCGGTGTGGGCGGGCAGCGCAGGGCGGGCAGAGGGAAGGGAAGATGGCGGAGGAGGAGAAGCTGCCCGCGGGGTGGGAGAAGCGCATGAGCCGCAGCTCCGGTGAGGGCCTGAGGGCGGGGGACGGCCGGGGGGGACCGGGAGGAACGCGGGGAAGGAGCGGCGGGGATGTGGGAGGTGGGAAAAGGGAGTGAGGGCCGCGGTGTTGGGATTTGGAAGGGATGAGGGGGCGTGGGGGGGGGGGGGAGAGATGCGTGAGGGGAATTTGAGGGGGGGGCACCGAATTGAGGAGGGTCCTGAGGGGGTCATGGCTTCAGGGAAAAGAGGACACCCCAATTTAGAGGGTTTGGGGGCGTCGTCAGCTCCGTGAGGGGAATTTTGGGGGGTCATGGCCTCAGGGAAAGGGAGACCCCACAGTTGAGATGGAGGAACCTCCGTGAGGTGAATTTTGGGGGGGTCCCCAATTTAGGGGTGTCCTGAGGGTGTCATCACCTCAGGGAAGGATGGACCCCCATTTTTGGGGAATTTTGCGGGGGTCTTCAACTCCATGAGGGGAATTTTAGGGGGTCACGGCCTCAGGTAAAGGGAGACCCCACAGTTGAGATGGAGGAACCTCCGTGAGGGGAAATTGGGGGAATCGTCAAATCCATGAGGGGAATTTTGGGAGGGATCCCGAATTTAGGGGTGTCCTGAGGGGGTCATGGCCTCAGGGAAGAGGATCCCCCCCAAATTGAGGGGAATTTTGGGGTGAGGGTCCCACTCATGAGGGGAATTTGAGGGGGCGTCACCCCCCAGCAATAATTGGGGAGGTTTTTGGGGGGTCAGAAGTTGATTTTTGGGGTCAGCAAACCGGATTTTAGGGTCTATAACCTGTTTTTCGGGCTTTATAATGTTCTTTGTCAGCATCAATCAGTAACCGATCAGTGATCAATAACCAATAATTGATCAATAAGGTTCTGGGATGCGTGTACTACTTCAACCACCCGGTAAATGTGAACCTGTGGAATCCATAATTGGATTTTTGGGCCGGCTAAGCTGGGTTTCAGTGCCAATAACTCGATTTTTCAGTAGAAATCGATACCCGAACACTGATCAATAACCGATAATAGATCAATAGGATGTGTGTAGTACTTCAACCACCCGGTAAATGTGAACCTATGGAATCCATAACTGGATTTTTGGGGTGGATAAACTGGGATTTTATGTCAATAACCTGATTTTTTATACCAATCAGTAACCAATAACCGATCAATAATCGATAATCGATCAATAGGGTGTGTGTAGTACTTCAACCATGTGGTAAATGTGAACCTGTGGAGCCCCTCAATGGATTTTTTGGGTGGATAAACTGGGATTTTATGTCAATAACGTGAATTTTTGATACCAGTCGGTAACCAATAACCAATCAATAATTAATAACTGATCAATAGGATGTGTGTAGTACTTCAACCACCCGGTAAATGTGAACCTATGGAGTCCATAATCAGATTTTTGGGGTGGATAAACTGGGATTTTATGTCAATAACCTGATTTTTTATACCAATCGGTAACCAATAACCGATCAATAATCAATAACTGATCAATAGGCCGCGTGTACTACTTCAACCACGTGGTAAATGTGAACCTGTGGAGCCCCTCAATGGATTTTTGGGGTGGATAAGATGAGATTTTATATCAATAACCTGATTTTTTCACCATAAATCGATACCCGATCACTGATCAATAACCGATAATCCATCGATAGGCCGCGTGTACTACTTCAACCACCTGACGAACGCCAGCCAATGGGAGAGGCCGAGCGGGGCGGGGAGGGCGGAGCCGTGTCGCGTGCGTTGCTCTCACCTGTTGGTCAAGCACAGCCAATCACGGCGCCCGTCCAGCTGGAGGCAGGAGCGCATCACCCGCACCAAGGAGGAGGCGCTGCAGCTCGTCAACGGTGAGAGGGGCATGCTGGGAAATTTTTGGGATTTTTTGGGGAATTTTTGGGGATTTTTGGAGGGTTTGGAGTTGGGGTTTTGGGATTTTTTGGGATTTTTTTAGTAATTTTTTAGGTATTATTTATGGTAATTAAGGTGTATGAATATAAGGCCAAAATATTGTTTGAAGTTCGTCAATGGTGAGAGGGGGATTCTTGGAAATTTTAGGAATTTTTTTGGAATTTTTGGGGATTTTTGGAGGGTTTGGAGTTGGGGTTTTGGGGTTTTTTGGGTTTTTAAAGTAATTTTTTAGGTATTGTTTGTGGTAATTGAGGTGTAGGAAGATAAGGTGAAAATATTGTTTGAAGCTCATCAACGGTGAGGAGGATTCTGGGAAATTTTGGGGATTTTTTGGGGATTTTTGGAGGGTTTGGAGTTGGGGTTTTGGGATTTTTTGGGTTTTTAAAGTAATTTTTTAGGTATTATTTATGGTAATTAAGGTGAATGAATATAAGGTGAAAATATTGTTTGAAGCTCATCAGTGGTGAGGAGGATTCTGGGAAATTTTAGGAATTTTTTTGAAATTTTTGGGGATTTTTGGAGTTGGGGTTTTGGGATTTTTTGGGTTTTTAAAGTAATTTTTTAGGTATTATTTATGGTAATTGAGGTGAATGAGCATAAGGTAAAAATATTGTTTGAAGCTCATCAGTGGTGAGGTGGATTCTGGGAAATTTTAGGAATTTTTTTGGAATTTTGGGGGATTTTTGGAGGGTTTGGAGTTGGGGTTTTTGGGTTTTTTGGGATCATTTGGATTTTTGTGGGTTTTTTTTAACATATATTTGCATTTAATTTTTATTTAATTATTATTAAAAACACATAAATTGGGAATGGCAACTTTTTTTTTTTTTAATAACTCTGGGAATGAGGATTTTTTTGAGAAAAAAAAAGTAAGAATGGTAATTTTTGGGAAAATAACCTGGGAATGGTGATTTTTTTTAGGGAAAAAAGTGGGAATGGCGATTTTTTTTTAGGAAAATAAGAGAATGGTGATTTTTTGGGAAGAGAAAAAAGGGAATTATGATTTTTTCGGTGGGGAAAAAAAAATAGAAATTGAGATTTTTTTGAGGAGGAAAAAAACCCTGAAT